CTTATTGGCTGGAACCCTGAAGAGGAGCACTCCTATTAGGAAATGAGTATAGCTGCAACACCTTCTTGCATGTCCCATTTGTACCCATCTCTTTTTAAAAGTAGCACAAACATACATTTACCATTACAATCCTGTTGATATCTAGCTTGGCATACAGTATGGTCTCCCAAAGCCCATAAGAAGAGAATTATCTGTAATCTATAGACATTACCTTTATATCATTTGTTCACCATCTACTTATGTCTACATGCAGTATAGATACATAGCTTGCTAACATCACACAGCCCTTAGTTTTGATTTGAGCTCCCTCAAGTGGTTGTTCCTATTGTGAGAATAAAACAGTAGTGCAATGATGTTCCACCTTACATCCCAATTATTATAACTTTGAAATGAATATTTTGCTGCTGAGTGGAACATTGTTCCAAGCAAATATGCTTAGAATAGCTTCCAAAGAGAAGAAAAATGTATGTGGCTGCCCTACCGGCACCCAACAGATTATTAGCAATTTTATTGGATTTCTAAGAGCTAACATACCCTGTAAACCACACCTGACTTAAACTGAGGTAGACATCCTTCACTTTGAGAAGTTTGCAAAGGGCACTGCACTGTGGCTTCAGTCATGTTTGTACTTATCTTGGTACTAAGTCTTATGGAAATCAGTAGAGATTATTTCTGAGACCTATGAAAAGCATTGTATCATAAGGCTGCAATAATTGCTTGAAAACATATCCCATTGAAATTAGTGAAACTAATTTCAGTTTGTCTGCTTGAACACAGAAACTGTTCTGTGTGATTTCTCTGCACAGTTTCCTTCTTTTGACTCCTTACTAAGGGGTACCGATGCAGTGGTGTGCCAGCTGGATCTTGAAGTAAGGGAACTCTGCTGTCTGCCAGGTACACATATCTGGAGTGTGACAGACAAGCTGGCATGTCTTCTTCTCCCAGGGCTCATCAGCTGCTTCTGGTGATCAATGGGGATGAGTGACACAGCCAGGCCAGAGATAGGTGAGATCACTCAGGACTTTGAGGCTTTGGGCAAGAGACTCAAAGGACTGAAGGTTCAGGTGGGTTTTTCCTCACTCTTACCAATCCACAGACATGGGCCAACCAGGGAGAGAAGAGTTGTGGAGATGAATAACTGGCTGAGGACATGGTGTTGGACAGAATGCTTTGGGTTCCTTGACCACAGCAACCCGTTCCTCACCAAAGGACCTCTGGCAATGGATGGGGTTCACCTCACTGGGATGGGGAAAAGGACCTTTGGGAATGCTGTAGCAAGCTTTGTCCAGAGAGAGAGTTTAAACTGATTGGGGGGGTGGTGGTCTTGGAACCAGGAACTACAGGAACCCATCAAAATCAGTCAGGTGAAGGAACAAGATCAGGGTCTCAGGGACAGGGTGATGTAGGGACTGCAGGCTTTGGAAAGGCTCCTGCTATGCCAGGGAGTATGGGAGGAAGAAGGAGACTGGGGGAGCTTGGGAATGAGGTTTGCAGGAAATAGCTGAAATGTATGTACACCAACACTAGAAGCATGGGAAACAAGCAGGAAAAGCTTGAGGCTATCCTGGGAATAGGTGGGTATGGCCTGGTGTGGATCACAAAAGGAGTAGCACTACATGTTAAGGAAGGGATAGGGTGCAAATAGATGGGAGCATAATAGAAAGAGACCAGGTAAAGGTGATCTGGGTAAGATTAATGGGTCTAGAGGGGGGCAAGGACCTGATAGTGGGGTATGTTATAATCCACTGGGTAAACTTGAGGCCCTGGATGGTCTCTGATAGATCAGATTGGAAGGATATCCTAGAGGAGGGACATGGTTATACTGGGAAATGTCAGCCTCCCTGATATTAGTTGGGAGGTGCAGTGGATAGGTCCCTAGAAGTTATGGTGAGAGGGGTTTTCACCCAGAGGGTTCAAGAGGCTAGAATGGGGAGAAACATCCTAGACTTGGTTCTGACCAACATGGAGGATCTGCTGAATGAGGGGCAGACTAGGAGAGCTCTGGATGCCAGTGACCATGCTGCAAGATCAGGTATGAGTGATAGGTCAAGTACTAGAAGTTGGGGCTCCACAAGGGCCAACTTCAGTCAAGCATTTATCTTGGGGTAGTTGTCAATAGTAAGTTAAAAATGAGCCAGTAGAAGGCTTGTGAATGAATGGCCAGAAGCATGGCTTCCAGATAGAGAGAGATGTCAGTACTGCTCTGTAAGAATTTGGTGTGCCCACAACTGGAGTACTGTGTCCAGTTCTGGGCTCCACATTATAGGGGAGATATAGCTAGGCTAGAATTAGTTCAGCACAGGGTCATGAGGATGGTAGCTATATTGAGGTGAGATTGAGGGAGCTGGGTCTTTCAGCCTGAAGGAGAGGAGACTCAGGGGGGATCTTATAACAACATGTAGGTATGTGAAGGGATGGCCTGGGAGACCACTTCTGATTAGCTATATTTCTATAATGAGGTGTGGGTTTAAATATACAAACTTTTGAATGCAGTTTAACTGGCTTGCAGGTCTGATGTGTTTTCATATATACACCAAATTTAAGGATTTTTTCATTTCCCAAATGATAAACTTGGATGTACTAGAGGTTCAGAAACTGCATCAAAGAAAAATTAGCCTCTGTGGCTTCTGTGAAAGGCAATGAATGTATAAAATAAACCAATAAAGCAAAGTTATTAAACAATATTTATGGTAAGGGTTTAGATCCATACTGTTAGAATGAGAATGATGTTAGGCATAAGTCACCAGGATGTTTATTTATAAGGTGGTAAATGCATGAAAGACCCACTTCTCACCTTTGGGGTAGCTCTTGGTGGTCAAGAGAGCTGGTCTTTTGTTTCTGTCCTTTCCTTGCTTCTTCTTTTGGAACAGCTGTTAGGGAATCTCTCTCTCAATCTCTCTCCTGCTTTTGTATATCCACTCATAGACCTTCATTTTGCCTCTTGGTTGTTCTTTCTCTTGGCAATTTAATGTTCGTTTGTTATTCATCCTGTCAGTTTCTCTGCTTCTTAATTTACAGGTGACACTTTGCAACATCTGATCCAAAAGATCCACTTTCATTTGCTGCTTGTGCTTTCTTAGTAGATGTCATGGAGATTTTCCATTATAGACCTTATAGATCCATATAACTTTAGCTTCAATTTTCTTCCAGCCTTTGTTCCAGTTTTCTTTTAGGTCTAAGAAACTTCATCAAGGAACTCAAGTGCATTAAACTTAATATATTGTGCCATTTTTCCACTCGTGCTGTAGAGAAGCTTCACTGATATTTCACAGCAAATGACACTTGGAAGCTTTGTAAATTGTCTCCAACTTTATTACCACACTCTCCTTAATCATTAACATCTGGGGACAGTTAGCAAACCATTTCATACATTTTGTATTGTGGGAAAGAAACATATATTTATTCAATAATTATAGCCAATCTAATTAACCTCTAGCTCCCCATTCCTAATGAATGAAAAACATTCTGGAACATATTTTTGTTTTGTTTTCATTTATCCACTTGTTCATTCTCATTTTCACCACTGACTAACCTGGAACTCTTTCCAATCTTCCTTCAAAACATGTATTCACTCAACTACAAGCAACAGTACAATGGACTGAAATACAGAACATGTCACATTCACTTCTTTACAGAAGCAATTTACTGCCTGCTTAGCAGGGAACCAAAATGTATTCACTTCATCTGAATGAGTTGACTGCTTTTCATGTAAAGCTGAAAGTATTCAGAGCAGCAAAAATGAGGCTTCCATTACAGAAGCCATTAGTTGTCTCTATTTTTTTGTTTTTGTCTTTTTGGCTTTCTTTGACAATTGTAATACTAATTTGTAAAAACTCTTGAATTATCCTTGTCAGAAGATCAGATGTCATTTCAAAATAAAATTCAAAAAATTTTACAAAAATGGTCAAAAATGTTAGATCTTCAGTCTTGCACCTCAAAATACAGTATATAGATTAATTTCTTGAAATGACAATGTTGGGAACTATTGTTATATAGATCCAGAGGCTTCTAGCTTTCTCTCTGGATCTGCAAGAAGAAAAAAGAAAAAATGAAAGATGCAGAAATTACTCAAAAGGAAGGTGAAAATGATCTGTCACCTTACTTCTCTACCAGACTCAGTGGCAATTTCCTACTTCTGGTACCTGCTGAGAGGGTGCACCACAGAAGCTGAATAGGCCTGGATGGGACACTAATGGATCAAAGTTGTGTGTGTGTGTGTGTGTGTGTGTCCATCTGTGCATTTGTGCACACTGTGAACAAAACACCAAGTGGGAGACAAGCTAGAAAGTACTGCTGGCTTAATTTAGCAAAGTCCATTTTTGTTAAATCCCAAACAAGGCATTGACTGTAATCCTATATATGTTTACTCAGAAGCAAATTTCATTGCATTCACTTTATCTACTTACAAGTTTTATATGCAACTGTGCATCCAATAAAATGTCAGAGTGGTGTTCAACAGAACTTGTTCACAGGTGATTGTGCAGAGGACTGCAGTATTCATTAATGTATATGCACACTGAAAAACAAGTCAGTGTCCCTTCTTTGTAAGGAGCTATTGAATTTGGTCTTTGGGTTGTATCCTATGGTACCGTTCTACCAGCAAAAGGAAACCACTTTTGGAACTATTTCCCCTTCTTTGCTACAGTCCTTGCACTCACTCCTGCTTTGCAAGGTTGGGAGCCTTCCAGGTCAAATTTTGGGTCAAGTGGGAGACTACAGTGGGAACAATAGTTCTATTGTGCACATGGAAGTCTTGTAAAATAGACATCAGCTTGCACAAGATTGGATCCAAGGGTTTAAGTAGAATTTTCTGGTTTTGCTTTTTGGCCTTCCATTTATTTTGCAAGTCCTTTTGGGGTGGATTGCGGCTGGACAAAAACATTTTGTAGCATTCTGCAGGCCACAGTATTGATAAGAGAGCTTTAAAGCCTGACTGAAAGTAGAGCAGGAAGAGATTAACAAATAAACAGAGTGCTTACCTCCAGTAGGTGGGTAGTCTACTATGACCAAAGAATGAAAGCTAAAGAAAAAAATAAGAATAAAAATAAAAACTGAAAAAAGAGAACAAAAAAAAAAAAAACCAGAAAAAATTGAAAGAGAGAAAAAGAAAAAAAAAACATTATAGTATAACTAGTAAGAAACCACTAATGAATCTAGACAAGAGCAAAGCTTGACAGTCTGTTGAAAGGAGGCAAAATAAGCTGCCTCAGGTGAACTTTCCAATGTTCCTGTTTCTACAGATGCAATGAGTAGAGTATATAAGAGGCACTCTAGTTCCTGTGTTGCTTTACTTTTAAACTTTTACATTCTGTGGGGCAAAATTTTCTTGATTTTGTAGCATACACTGTTATGAAAATTTTCAGCTAAAATACAACAGCAAACAATTCAAATAAATAAATACATAAATGTGTATATATCTGGAGAGGCCCTGATAGTTTTTTGGTAACCACACATGGGATAGAGAGTTGCATTTGGAACCCAAGAGGGTCTTGGAGTGATGGGGAACAAAATCAAGGAATATTTCAATATTCTTATAACAATGTCCATATTGAGTACCCTAGTATCATTTGAAAAATTAAGGTGTAATATTGTACCTCACCATTTCACTCATACAGAAATGTTCTTAACCCTGTGCTATTTTGAAAATCAATCTCACCAAGATTGAGTGTGATCAGTCTTTTGACAATGCAATCCTATACTTGACTACCCAAAAGTAATCCCACTGAATTAAATGAAACTTACTTCTAATTAAAGCCTAAATTCAACACAGATAAGCCCATCTAAATCAGCAGATTTAAGCATGCTTTAGTCTGTGTTGGATTTAGCCCTATGTGTATATAGGGCTACATCATTAGTCTATTCTAGAATGGGTGACCTCTGGCTTTGAAGCTGTTTTAGTCTAAAATTCTCACAACCTGTCATCATCACTTGCTGCCCCCAATCACTTCTTATATTTTTCAAATAAAATTCACTAATGAGTGAATAATTTTATTCCTTGTTCTCTCAGGCAACTATACCACAATTCAAACTCAAAAGCACTATTACTTCTGAGAAAAGTAAGCTTCTCATAGGTTCACTACCCACTGAAATGAATGGGTACATTTGCCATTGTTCCACTGTTTTGGTGGACACAAAGCAATGCCAAAGCAGCAGTCTGCCTTCTGCATAGTTCTGGGTAGGGGACAGAGGAAGGAAAGGGATCTTCTGGATTATATTTATTATAGGTTTATGCTGAAGGCTAGGTTAGAAAGGGCCTGCAAGCTGCATATGAGTCCCAAATCATTTTTTCCTGCCTCTGCCTAGCTTACACACATGCTTTGGCTTTTCAGAGAGGGGTTCCAAACCTGGTACCCAGAAATGAGGGACCAGTGCTGCTCCCTGTTCATTGATGTTGTTCAGCTGCTTCTCATCCCTGCTGCTGGCTCACAATGAGTGGTATGAGGAATCATGGAAGGTGCCTTACTCTGGCAAGGGCAAGTGCATGGGGAAATCTGTGTGGCATGCAGCTCCTAATCCGGCAGTGCAGCTTCTTGTCCTGATGCTCATGCCAGAGGGGTGGCATGGGGAAAGCCATTATATCACACAGTCTCCAACCGGGCATTGCCAACCAGCAGATTTTCAATGCTCCCAATTGTGTGAGCAGGAATCCCTTGGTTGCAAGGGAATCAAATGAGTGGTACTGCTTTTCAGCTATTGCCAACAAGCTAACTGCTCTCTCCTGGCTCAAAGATCTTTAGGACAAAAGGCAAGAAGAGTGAACACTGATAGTTGCACCAACTGGCAGCGTCAGTGATGCTGTCTGGTTAGCTGCTTGCCAATGGGCTGCTCTTGCTAATCGGCCTGCTCGTTCTCACCAAACATACTTGTTTGAATGCTAGAAGCAAAAACTCCACTTTTCTATCACCTCAGAAGGTTGCTTAATAACAGCGTTATGTGTTTGTCTCGATACTTAATACTGTGTCCAGTTCTCAGCCTTTTGGCTAAGATCAAGTGCAGTAATGTAGTGACCAAATAATTCCAACTAGACCTTAAGGAGAATGACCCATATTAAATGAGGCTGTTCCAAACCCACAATCTTTTCTACACACTTTCTTTGAGCATAGTTTTTGTAATCATTCATTTTTTTTCACTTTTATTACCATACCTTTTCTTCTAGTTCCTTTATTTGCCTTTTTTGAGCTTCAATTCTTTCTTCTAGCTCTTTAATTCTCTGTGAAAATCAAAATTTTGTGTAAATTTGGGCTGGAGGGAGATTTTATCTAAAAGACTTGTTAGAAAAATTCAGAAAAAAAGCTTAGCTGTGGTTGTGATGCAAATCAACCAGACATTTCTGTTGCCTCTGATGCCTCATTCCACTGATGAGCCTGGAGACATTCAGGTTAGATTCCTATGACTATCTGTTTTTATACTGGGGTGACATTTTATGAGAGCTCGCATAAAGGTTACCTAGAGAGGATACTAGTTTCAACAGTCCTGCTGTCAAAGAGAGCCCCAGTCCTACAGAAGTGATATTGGGTGATAGCTGTGCCTTCCAGGAATGAATCCCTCACTTCTCTGTATTGGAATTATGTTATGTCCTCTTATCTGTCAGACACAATAAATATCCAACATGGGGTGGGCAACATGTGGCCTTCCAGATGTTTTGTCCTATGACTCCCATCATTCCTAACCAACATAACTATGATGAAGGTTCATGGAGATTGTAGACGAAATTACCAATCTAAGAGAATCACATGATGGCTATAACCTGAGATGAGGTTCCAGACAGGAACTCTAGGATAAAATGCTCATGGATACTGTGCAAATGCTTCAGCAATAAGCATTCAGAAAATGCTTCTGCACTCAACGATGTCCCTAACCCATATCTGTAGCTTCCACTGATGGGGGTGGGGAATATGCACGGTATAATGCCAGCAGCAGCAGCATCTCTACCATCACCACACTACCAAACCCCACCTTTCTTCCTCCTGGCAGAAACCCAAGGTGGCTTACAAGGTTCTCCTCTTCATTTCATCTGCACAACAAGCCTGTGAAGTAGGTTAAGCTGAGAGTGAATCACCCAGTGAGCTCCATGGCTGGGTGGGAACTAGAACCTGGATCTCTTGAGTCCCAGTTTAACACTCTAAGCACCACACCACACTGATGGTATGATGATGAGGGGCTGCAGCTCAATGGAGTGTATGTATCATGGCTCAGTGCTAAAAGGTTTTGCATGTGGAAAGTCCAGGTTTGATATTTGGCATCTTCAGGAGGGGAAGGAAAGAATCCTGCATGAAATCCTGAAGAAACACTTCCAGACAGTGTCAACAATACTGGGCTAGATGAACCAATGTTCTGGTTCACTTTAAGGCAACTTCCTGTGTCCCATATCTGTAGTTACCTAGTTACAATGAAACTAACTATGGCTGTGGTCATGCAACACATAAGCTACCCTGTGAATAAGCTACACAGTGTGGGATGTCGGTGGACCAAACCAGGCTGCACCTGATAGATAACTGGGCTCATCTATAGCTTGTTCACTTCCTCCTCCTCCCTCAATGTTCCAGCTGGTATCCCAGTACCTTCCACGGCAGAACCCCTCTTGTCTCCCCATCTGCATTCTGATTGCAACACTTTTAAAAATATTTTCCAAAATGCACAATTGTATTTTTTCTGCCACAGAAAGTGGTGAAATTGCATTCATTTTTCTAAATGGGGGAGCAGTCAGCCTTTGGCCAATGTACTCTTACAGCTGTTCAAAATGTGTAGTGATCTCATCAATTTCCATGTATGTTTCAGCTGCCAAAGGTAGGACAAAGTAAGTAAGGTACAGAGAAACCGACAAGGAAGACTGCCTATAACCGAGTTTGTGCATTGACGACAGAGAACTGTTGTCAAGTTGAAAATGATGAAAAAGCTGAAATAGAAATAGGTGCATCAAAAGGGAGGAAAATATTTGGCACTTTGATATGTGATCCTCCTAAATGCTGAATTGATAGCTCTTTGTGTATCCCATATTTTCAAAACTTCCCTAAGTCCCCAGCTACTCCAGAACAGGAAAACTACTCCTTCTCCATTTTGTGACTCTTTTTTGGAGTACTTACCAATGCAGTTACTGCACTACCCTGTCCATTCTAAACAACCCTCAGAAATGTACACAAATTGAATGGCTGGGAAGTAAATGGCCCTAATGCCCTAATCCACATCTTTGACTCTATCTAGCAGAGGTGGGGAAACTGTATATCTGTCAGTCACAGCCAAAGAGATGGATTATGAACTATCAATTCAGTACTTTAAGCAGAGAGACCACTTAGAGTTGAGCAGTTGCTCAATTCCACAAATTTGTCCTCCCTGCAAAAAAAAAAACCCCAAGCACAAATGGGCAGTCAGTTGTTTGAATTGAAGCACTTCACTTCATTCAGTTGGGACACTTGGTTGTTTTTGAATATAACAAAAAAAAAAAAAAACCCACCCATAAGAAAAGCCATGTTGGATGAGACCAAAGTGCCATACAGTGCAGCACTCCATATACATGGTGGCAAACCAGTTGTCCACAGGATTCCTCAAGCAGGATGGGTGCAAGACCTCCTCCAACCCAAGCTCCTCAGCAACTGGTGTATGCAAGCATGCCACCTTTGCTAAAGGAGGTAGTACAAGGCCAGCAAGGCTAATAACCATTGATAGCTTCCTCCCTCCTGAATCTGTCCAATCCCTTTTTAAGGCTATTCAGATTGGTGGCCATCACCATGTCCTATGGCAGCAAATTTCATAGTTTCTCTGGAGAAGACGGGAAAAGCCACAGTGAGCGAAAAGGGGTTGTGATCATGCAGGAGGGGGAATTTACCACTGACTGTCACTCCAAAGTGACAGGTACTTGGTGGAGTGGCTGTTACTGATGCTGGTTTGGACAAGCTTTGCAAGAGCAGCATTACTGACAACCCATGATTGGGTCAACATTCTGGGTTCAGAGGACAAGATAATCCATTACTGCAGAGAACCATGGGTTTCTAAGGTGGCTTGTTTATGAACAATAAGCTGCAGTACAGAAAATGAGTTGGGTTCAGGTGTTGGGTGCAGGTGACATGACATATTACATATAATTGGGCTGTTATATATAATTGGTTGTCATTTCAGTGAGACAGGTTGTTCTAAATTATTTACAGGGCTACTATTTTCGGCAGCAGCTTTGTGGACTAATTTGTAATGTGGCCTCAAAGACCTAGCAATTGCAAATATCCATACCAAAATGGCTGTTAATAAGAAAAGGCCTCTCTGATCAAGGGACATTAAAGTGCTTTATTCTTCCACAATAACTTTTTAATTCTGGGCCTTATTATTAGATTCTTACTTTAGAAGTATATGCCAAAATAAAAAGAGCAAAATGAAGTTACTGCTCATCTTCCACAGAGGGGGCTTTCTCAGTGGCATAGGCTCATATACCCAACAGACCTGTTGTGCATGCTGAACGAGTTCCATTCTTTCCCGCAGAATCTGGGAATCCCGTTCACGAAGTTCACTCATGACCTGACGCTTCCATTGTTCCACGGCATTCTTCAACTTCTCTCTCTCCTCTTCAGAAAGGATTTCAGACATTTTGGCTCCTGCCTCCTGCTGCAAGGCATCATATAGCATGGCTTCCAATTCCAGAATGTGCTAATAAAAGAAAAATGAAACTATTTGTTCACACAAGCCTTTCTGTTAGTATTATATTTTTGGAGCATTTACCCTGTGAGTTTTTGCATTTATTCCTTAATATGTCTGGCCTGAATTGTTCTGACATTCCAGGACTTCTCTACATGAGGCTTTTAAGCCACTGCTTTACCAAGGCTTCCACTTCTGGATTCTTTGCAGGATTAAGATCAGCTCTTTTGCATGTCTTTTACAAAACCACAAGGTGGCACAGCAGAATTACAAAAATACACCAGACTCTGATTTCATTTCGTTCCATCATTTTCAGAAAATATCAGACTTTGCTAGCTAAAAATAAAATAATAATTAACAAAACAGTAGGAATGTTTGGAAAGCACAGGAGAGGACCTGGAGGGTGACAGTGCCCTATAAAGCATTCCCCAAGCTGTGAATGGAATGGCTGAAGTAAAAAAACAAAACAAAACTTGAGATCTACATTTGGAAGAGCTGGGAACAGTGTTATCTGCAGGTTTCTGAGGGCAAGAGACTCTCCAGGAGCCCCCTCCTGCAGAGAATCTACCTTCTTGTCATTGCTGTTTTTCCCCTTCTGCTTTCTCATCACCTTTTTCACTTGCTTACTCACCAGACAAAGGCTCAGTGTAAGGAGTGGCATTTCCTGCTCCTTCCTGCTCCCACCATCATTGCCTGGGAGAGAGCAAGCAGGTTGCAGTAGTGCGAAAGAGGAGCAGCTCCAGGGGTTTCTGGTCAGTAGGTTCTGGGTAGGGTCCTGGCAGCTGCCTGACCATGCCTATCCATTACATTAAGCCTGCTTGGGAAAATCAGTATTTTGTCTGGATTTCCTCCAGATTTTTCAAATGGCAGCTTACATCTCAACAGTGCTGCCCTTGATCAAAGAGTCAGAATAGGTTATACGGCAGTGCATGTATAGTGAATCCCTTTCTGAGGTGTTGGCCTTCTTGTTGTTAGTCGCAAAGTCATGTCCGACCCATCGTGACCCCATGGACAACATTCCTCCAGGCCTTCCTGTCCTCCACCATCTCCCGGAGTCCACCCAAGCTCACACCAACTGCTTCAGTGACTCCATCTAGTCACCTCATCCTCTGCCGTCCCCTTCTTCTTTTGCTATCTATTGTTCCCAGCATTAGACTCTTCTCCAGGGAGTCCTTCCTTCTCATTAGGTGGCCAAAGTATTTGAGTTTCATCTTCACTATCTGGCCTTCTAAAGAGCAGTCAGGGTTGATCTCAACTAGGACTGACCGGTTTGATCACCTTGCGGTCCAAGGGACTCACAGGAGTCTCCTCCAGCACCACAGCTCAAAGGCCTCAATCCTTCGGCGCTCAGCCTTCCTTATGGTCCAGCTTTCACAGCCATGCATTGCAACTGGGAAAACCATAGCCTTGACAATACGCACTTTTGTTGGCAGGGTGATGTCTCTGCTTTTTAGTATGCTGTCTAGATTGGCCATAGCTTTCCTCCCCAGGAGCAAACGTCTTTTAATTTCTTGGCTGCAGTACCCATCTGCGGTGATCTTCGAGCCCAGGAAAATAAAATCTGTCACTACCTCCATTTCTTCCCCATCTATTTGCCAGGAAGTGAGAGGACCGGATGCCATGATCTTAGTTTTCTTAATGTTGAGTTTCAAGCCAACTTTTGCACTCTCTTCTTTCACCCACATCAAGAGGCTCTTTAGTTCCTCTTCACTTTCTGCCATGAGCGTGGTATCATCTGCATATCTGAGGCTGTTGATATTTCTCCCAGCAATCTTAATTCCAACTGGTGATTCATCTATTTCTTCCTTCCTTCCTTCCTTCCTTCCTTCCTTCCTTCCTTCCTTCCTTCCTTTAGGAAGTTTCTATGCCGCCCCATTTGCTGAAGCCTCAGGGTGGCTCACATCAATAAATAGAAACATAGAAACATAGAAAACAGAGCGAGTCAGAAGGAGCCTCCCGGGCTATCTAGTCTGACCTTCGGCACCAGCTCTGCTCACCAGCTCCGCTCACGACATGCCCACCATGTGGACGTCCAGCCTATCCTTGAACACCTGCACCGATGGGGCCTCAACGACCTCTCGTGGAAGCCCATTCCACACCCTCAGGGTCCTAACTGTCAGGAAGTACTTCCTGGCATCCAAATAGAATCTTGGTTCCCTGAGCTTTGCTCCATTGGATCGTGTCCTGCCTTCCTCTGCAGGGGAGAACAGGTCTCTACCCATCTCCATGTGACATCCCCTCACATACCTGTATGTCGCCAACATATCCCCTCTGAGTCTTCTCTTTTCCAGGCTGAAGAGACCCTGTTCCCTCAGTCTCACCTCATACAGCATCCCCTGCAAACCGGCCACCAACCTTGTGGCCCTACGCTGCACTGACTCCAACCTGGCTATATCCTTTCTGTAATGAGGGGCCCAAAACTGAACACAATATTCCAGTTGCGGGCGCACTAGAGTCGTGTAGAGTGGTAGTAATACCTCTCTTGATCTAGAAGCAACACTTCTGGCTATGCAACCAAGGGTGGCGTTCGCCCTCTTAACCACCGCATCACACTGCTGACTCATCTTAAGGCTGCAGTCAACCAGTACCCCGAGGTCCCTTTCACAAGTGCTGCTCTCCAGCCACTTATCACCTGACCTGTACTTATGACAGCTATTCCTATGCCCCAAGTGCAAGACCTTGCACTTATCCACATTGAACGCCATCCTGTTGTCTCCTGCCCACTTCCATAGTCTGTCCAGATCCTTTTGGATCTGGAGTACCTGATCCTCAGTTGTGGCCACTGCTCCAGTTTTAGTGTAGTCTGCAAATTTGATCAGCAAACTGTTCACCCCTTCTTCCATTTCATTAATGAAAAGATTAAACAGGATCGGTCCCAGGACAGATCTCTGGGGGACCCCGCTTGTCACTGGCTGCCATCCCGATGATTCCCCGCTAATGGTTACCTTCTGCTTTTGGTCAGTCAACCATGCCCTAATCCACCAGACAGTGCTTGGGGTATCCCAAAACTCCTCAGTTTCTCCACCAGGATATCATGGGGCACTTTGTCAAAGGCATTGCTGAAATCCAGGTATACAACATCCACTGCATCCCCTCCATCTAACCATCTCGAAACCCTGTCATAGAATTCCACAAGGTTTGTCTGGCAGGACCTGTTTTTGTGGAAGCCGTGTTGTGTGGCTGTCAGCCTCCCTTCCCTATCTAGCATCACTAGATCTCTCTCTATTATGAGCCTTTCCATTGTTTTTCCTACAATAGACGTAAGGCTAACCAGTCTATAATTCTCCATGTCCTTTCTACTACCCTTTTCGGAAATTGGGACCACTGCTGCCACCCCTCCAGTCCTCTGGAACTTCACCCATTCTCCACGAGGTCTCAAAAATGGAGGCCAGCGGGCATGAGAGAACCCCTGCCAATACTCTAAGTACTCTCGGGTGTAACCCGTCAGGACCTGGTGCCTTTGTAAGGTCCAATGCCTTGAGGAGCCCCTCGACTTCAAGGGGGTTGACTCTAATCTGTGCCCTAAGTCCCCAGCCTCATCTAAGCTCCTATGCGGATATCCCCCGTCCTGCTTTGGGGAGAAGACAGAGGCAAAATAGTCATTTAGCATCTGTGCCTGTTCCCTCATATCAGTCACTGGATCTCCTTCTGCCTTGTTTAGTGGTCCCACGACTTGTCTCCCCTTCCTCTTCCTAGTTACATGCTTAAAGAAGCCCTTTTTGTTGCTCTTGATATTCTTGGCAAGTCTCAGCTCATAATCAGCCTTAGCCTTGCGAAGAATCCTTCTGCAATGGGCCTCCTCCTCCCGGTATACCCGTTTGTCTATTTTCCCCAGTACCCATTTCCTATGAAGGTTCCTCTTGCATCTAATCCCTCTAACCACCTCCTTTCGCATCCATGGCAGCACTCTCCTCCACCTTCCCACCTTACTGACTAGAGGTATCGTCAAGGCTTGCCCCTCCAAAACCTCCCTTCAGAGTGCTATCCACCCCTCCTGAACTCGCTTACCTTCCAGTAACCTATCCCAGGAGAATTTCCCCAGTCTGGCCTTCAGTTGGCCAAAGTTGGCCCACTTGAACTCCCAGCTTCTAGTGTTTGACCTGCTGCAAGCAAAGGATGGAGTGATCACTCGCATCCAGAGCTCCCCTAATCTGTACTTCATCTATCAGCTCCTCACTATTGGTCAAGACCAAGTCAAGGATGTTTCCCCCCCTCGTCGCCTCTCGGATCCTCTGTGTGAAAAACCCTCCCTTTATAGCTTCTAGGAAGCGACGTGACCTGGCTGTCACCGCTGAGTGAGTCTCCCAAGTAATATCCGGGAAATTGAAATCTCCCATAATTACTGTCTCTTCCCCAAGACATTCTTAGAATCTGGCTTGTCAGGACATCATCCAGGGTCTCAAGTTGACCTGGAGGGCGATAACATACCCCCACTGTCAGGTCTCTTTCCCTGTCAAAACCCCTGCCTCTACTGAATCCCCATCTGTGCTGCATTCTATCTCACTGCATCCCATGCCTTCCCTGACATATAAAGCCACGCCCCCACCTCTCTTTCCCTTCCTGTCCTTTCTAAAAAGGTGATACCCTTCTATGTTCACATTCCAGACTTGCCTTTCATCCCACCAAGTTTCTGTGATTCCCACCAGATCATACCCTCCTATTCCCAGGAGAGCTTCAAGCTCTTCCTGCTTGTTACCCATGCTCCTAGCATTGGGGTACATGTACCTCAACTCCTTCCCACCGCTTCCCTTCCTTGGAGTTCCCAGCTTCCTCCTTCCTCCCTGATACCTGGCCCCTCTCAGTAGGAGACCTGTCAGTCCCTGCAGTATCTCTAAAACCCTGCTCCCAGAGCCCTGATCCTCCCCCCACACTTGTCCAGTGCAGACACGTTACTGGGGTGCCTGAACCCCCCCAGCTCAGTTTAAAGTCTTCCAGACGAAGCTCGCTAGAGCATTTCCAAAGGACCTTTTCCCCATCCTCATGAGGTGTAACCCGTCCCTTGACAGAAGTCC